CAAAGAGTTAGGGACAGAGACATGCACTGTAACACCCCATTACCAGACCGGTGTATTATCATCAATTATGATATTAAGCGTAGTTACAATCACAACAGTTCATTTAAAAATACGGGAAATTTTTTTCTTTTTAGTAATGTTTGCACTTTTTAAAACACTTGTATTAAATATTTTACAAACTGTAATTATAATCAAAACTATTGCAAAAATATAAATGTTATGGATTAACAATATACAACAAGTATTTAAAGATGCCAAGTGGTTCCCATAAACCAATGAAGCTTAATTACACAATTTTACATTTTACAAACTTGAGGAACCCTCAGTTTTTCTAAAACTGCAGATGGACTACTTGTTCATAAATTCCCATCCTTTAATATGTTAAACTAGACTCTTCTAGCTTTCCAACGAGGTATCACATACCCTAATTGGAGTTCTATAACTCCGGATATGTTCACTGTAAGTTAATTCCTTAAAACTGTTTATAGTGGAACTACAGAAATTCTGAGGACAATTCATAATTCCAAAACAAAGGCATATTTCCGTGCCTAGAAAATTCTTCACAAATCATGTAAATAAAATAGACATCTAAGGCTTTAATTTTACATAAGGTGCACATTGTTTCGATGAAAAATGAAGGAGATACACTCGTCGCAAGTAAGATGTACAAGACTGCCAACACAATAGAACTGGGTTTGCCAAGTTCCCTCACGATTTTTGTCACTATGGGAGTTCTACTAGTCCAATTGCTCTCAAATTTTAATATGATATATTAGACACCTAGAGCTTAAATTTGATGTATCATAAGCCTAAATTGGGTGAGAAATGAGGGAGATATTGAGTTTCAAAGTTACAAAACAGTGAGTAGTGCCATTTTGTCAGTTTCGGGCAGTCTCCACTCATTTCGACACACAAGGCGTTATATAACTCAGAATGATACCAAATTTTAGAACAGTGTAAAATGAGGTATGGCATGCTCGATTGGCCAAGTGTGAAGGGAGATATGGTATCCCGAAGTTAAGGTAAAAACCACACAAATTTCAGGAAATTTTGACAACATATCCTTTTTTTATTAACTATCCCCACTTTATTTAAGGTGTTTCTTTTCTCATAGGGTACCTAATTAACCATGGGATGGCATCCAAAGGATCAACATTCCTTGGTGCATTACAACCCTCATCACAATTCATATTATGTCCATTTACTCATTTTTCAGTTCAATCTCCATGATTGGCTTGGATCACAATTTACACTATCTCACATTATCCATTTTCTTTAAACCTGTTCTTAGCATTACCATTTCATGCACCTTGTCCAATTAGCATCCATCATAATTATACAACATCATTACCAAGGATAAGCCTATTGTCCTTCCATCACATACATCAATATTTACATACACAAGATCCTCAAGTGATACAATTAAGAGTACAACAACTAAATAAATATAACTATTACATAATCATTGTCACCTCTAAAACATGTTACAACACATAACCAAAATAGTAACCATATGACTTAGATCCAAAAGCATGAACAACCCTAAGCATGGCAATAACATCTCATGTAAGACTAATGTTCATGTACTAAGTCAGTGATACAAAATAAGCAATCATATCAACAAGCTCCAATAATCCAAAATGTCATGTCAAGATATTCCATATGCTCGAATCTACACTAAGTGGGCTTCTTGCCCAATGCTCCTCCAGAAGGTTCAGCAATTCCTGAAAGGTGGAACCCCAAAACGCAGGTGAGATTTGACAATCTCAGCAATTCCTTAAAAACAGTTAAGTAAATAACATTGCACCTTTTCATTCATAAATATATTGCATGATAAAATTATAATTTAGATCATAATAAGAAAAACAATAATATTAATCATAAAATTAAATATAGTTTGGACTTGACATAGTCCCCGCTATGTACTCACCTGAGTGTTGATGAGACAAGGTAGGAGTCAAGACTACCGATTGGTGCGAAGATCTTGAACTTTCTTCCAAAATTTGATAGTGTTTATTCTTTCTATTTCTTTCCATTCTCATTATTTGCTTCTCACTCTCTCCAAAAAATTTCTCCTCCAACTTCTACTAAAACATCACCTATTCATAGGCATTCTTCCTTTAGACAATAAGACATTAATATTACCACCACATTTGTTCATTTTATCCTTATTATTGCTTTTACAACTGGTCTTTTTGGTATTTTTCAATAATATTGCATTATTATTACTTTTACAAATAATCATCTTATCACCACCATTTGGTATTCTGCAATGATGTTGTTTCGTTATTATTTTTACAACTAATTAATCACCTTGTCTTCATCATTTAGTATTTTGCAATGATATCCCTCCAATTTGGACTCTTTTTCCTATACAGTAATTTTTACAACTCATCATTTTTTTTTTGTGTGGACAACTCATCATTTTATCACCACCATTTAGTGTTTTTCAATAATATCATTTCATACATTTGCATAATTAAAAGAATACAATCAATCATTTGAAAATATTATCAACTTGATTCATATTCACCGCAAATTATTCTTTTACTTTCTTTATTTTATTTTATTTAATATAATTTCTTTTTTATTTTTGGAATGTTATATAATACATCAATACATAATTAAATATTAATTAAAAATCTTTTGCATTATTAATATATATAGTAAATTACTTACTTATCTATTAATTAATATACAAGAATGTGAAGCCACAAGAATTGGTCTAGATGAGAGATTTAGATACGTTATATTAGATTATGTGTTCAATTTCTACTCGTATAAAATATTTATATATATATATGGGAAAAATATTTCTGCAGTTAATGCAGATAAGTTATCTGCATTTATTTTCAAAACGACGTCGTTTTGGTATTCAAATCTTAAAAAATTATGAATATAAAGATTATTATAACCCTGAAATAAATTAAAATTACAAAAACATCATGATTTTCGTCCCAAAATGACGTCGTATTGGCTTACTGCAGATAAACTGCAGAAAAAACGAACCCTATATATATATATATATATATATAGGGCTTATCGTTTCTCAAGCTGTTTGAGAAAATCTTATCTCTAGCTACTAAATCATAATCGTATAAAGATGGATCAATGGTGATAAAGGAAGAGAGAGAAAAAGGGAATCATATTCATTCAAAGGTAAATCAATTAATATAAGAAAATAAATAAATAAAACGACGTAATTTTAGAATAGTTTGAGATAAACTTATCTCAAACTACTTGAGAAATGTTTTTCCCATATATATATATATATATATATATATATATATATATATATATATATATATATATAGGGTCAGGATTATTTTTCACCAGTATAAGTTACACTCTCAATATTGACCATTGATTCCACTTATATCTAACGGCTCAAGTTTTTTAGTAATGTGAGCCATTGGATACAAGTGAATCAACGATCAAGATTGAGTGTAAGACTTCTAACTCTTACACCGGTGTAAGAATATCCTGCCCCATATATATATATATATGGACTTAACATTTCTCAAGATGGATCAATGGTGATAAATGAAGAGAGAGAAAAAAGAAATCATAACCATCCAAAGGTGAATCAATAAATACAAGGAAATAAATAATCAAAACGACGTAGTTTTGGGGTGGCCGGAGATAAACTTATCTCAAGCAGCTTGAGAAATATTTTTTCATATATATATATATATATATATATATATATATACACACACACACACAAACGTCGCCGTAACTCATTCATAAAGCAAATAATTATTATCTACTACAAAGTTTATACCTGATAATTAATTATTTTTCAATAAATTAGGACCAATACCTACACAAAAACGTCCCCGTAACTCATTCATAAAGCAAATAATTATTATCTACTACAAAGTTTATACCTAATAATTAATTATTTTTCAATAAATTAGGACCAATACCTAATAATTAATTATTTTTCAATAAATTAGGACCACAACTCTAACTTTACAACTGTATTTTTTGGTCCTAAGCCGGTAAGCCCTATTTGTAACACTTATTCAATCCGTGTTGAGTCAACAACTTGATGGATACGTATAGTTCACAACCACAAAGGTGGGGTGAATAATTCTTGACAATTTCGAATAAGGAACTTGATACAAACACAAACTCAGACACAACCACAACCACATGAGATGATAGAAATTTCATCCATTTGCAACCAAAGTGGTATATTTATGAGTCATCTATTCTCAACATTATGTTATGTCGTGTTACTAAAAAATCCTCACCCTGAAACCTTGCCTTTTCGTTTTCGATCAATGAGCAATTTCAGTGCTACACTTTCTCCAAGAAGACTCTCCAGTACCATTTTCACTAGGATTTTCCCTACCTCCCTTTATTATAAATTTAAATCACAGTCGCACTCCCACCCAACCCAACAAAAACCAAGAAGAAAACGACAGCACAACCGAGCATTACTCAATCCAGACCAGGATGTTCTCCGAACAAAACGAAGAATAAACAGATACACACAAAGCAGCAAAAAAATAAAAATAAAAATAATAAGTATGCAACAACAGACACAAACTTTTCTAGTTCCAAGGTCAACGCAGGAGCTATCATTATCGAGCAATTGAAAACAAGGAACGCATTCACTTTACTCTGAGTATGTCGTTCTCATGAAACCCCTTTCGAGTTTCCAGAGTAGAAAAATTAAATCAAACATTATAATAAAAAGGGGCATAAATTAAGCACTGAAAAGGGTAACCACATGCTTAAACAAAACACTGATAACAATTTCAGGATTATCAATAATTTCAATTGCTTTCCAATCCATAGAAGGGGCAAAGAGTACACAGTGAGTTTGAACATATAAACCTAGTTAAACCTACAAATTGCAAAACCCTAAAGACCAGATTCTGAGTGAAAGACCAAATTAAAGTTAGCTATGCTAGACACTACTATAACTAAGAGATAGATAAAAGCAAAAGGAGCACTTAGCTACCTATGAAACACATATATAGATTAAGTTAAGCATTTTGCATCCTGGCTGCAAAAGAATTAAAAATCTCTGGATATTGAAAAATATCTTCCATGATAGAGCACTCTGCATGATTCATCATAAACTGGTTTTCCCCCATAGGCATTGCTTGCATGGTGTTAAACGCATTAAGAGTGTCAAATTTTTGCATGGGGAAACCTTGGTGATCGAAAGAGACACCAAAACCCTCGATCTTGGGAAGCCTCATCCTCGTATCATCATAACACTGAGATGCAGAAAAGGGCATGTGATCAGATATTGGTTGAGGGAATGACTCTGTGATGGATAAAGTCTCTGTTTTTAGCTTATTCTCGCAATCATTGGTCTTGGGTTTTGATTTTGGTAAGAACCTATGAACTATCTCTTCCAATAATCCAGAGCCTGTAGGTTCTCTGGGAAAGAACTCCGAGTCTTCATTAATAGTTTCAGAGACTTCTGTTCTATTGGCATTGATAACACCATAACTGTGATTCATGTTATCATTTCCCGAAGAAGAATTTACCATACAGCAACCTTGGAGACAGTTTGACACGGGTAATAAGAATGAAGAAGATGAACAATAACAAGAACAAGTGGGTGATGAAGGGATTGAAGAAGAAGAAGAAGAACTACTACCCTTGTTGTAAAACTGCTGAGCAGAAGAAGAAGAAGAAACCAAACACGGTTTTGTGGAAGAGGAGTTGAGGAAGTCACGAAATAGAAGCATGTTTAGGGAAGTGTTGGGTTGGGTTGATGATGCAGACACAACAGTGCTACCTGAGAAATCACCACCACCGCCACCACCGTTTGAAGAACTCAAATGGCGATTTTGGATGAACTTAGGGGTATGATGAGATTGCTTGGGAATGTTGAAGTGTTGGAAAAGGTGTTGTTCTGTAAAAGAAGGGTGATGGTGAGGAGGAGAATCAGGGTACACAAAATTAGTTCGAGCTTTAACGCCCCGCATGGCTCTGGCGGCGCAGTCGTAGGCGCAGGCTGCTTCCTCAGCCGTGTCGAAGGTTCCGAGCCAGCGGCGCTCCTTCGACTGTGGGTCCCTTATCTCTGCGGCGTAACGGCCCCACGGCCTGCGCCTCACTCCACGGTACCTCATTGTGCCGCCGCCAGAGCCACCGCTTTCTCTCAAGGCTCTCTTATTGGCGGCGGTGGCACACTTCTTCTGGTGGTGGTTGTCGGAGATGGAGTCATGCTGGTCGGGTACTTGAATATTGGTCATTCCGTTGAGTCGCCGTAGAGCTTCTTCCATGAAATGATGCTCTTCTTTGAAGCAATGCCTTGGTTGGTTAATAGAAAAATATGAGAACTGAAGAGTAGGTTAATTGTAACTTAGTTGGTATGCCTTGGTCTTGTATTTTATAGAGGTCATGAAACAGGAAATTCCTTTTGTATATAATAAAGTAATATATATGAATTTTAATTTGTTTTCCTTTTTGTGAATTTTACAGTTAATTCAGCACAAACATGAAGAGTAATTGCACACTGACAACTTATGTGGAGTTTTCTTCTAGGAACTGATATTGGGAAAGTGATTGATTTAATTATGCATGTCCAATGCAACACAAAATTCGAAAACAGAAGAGACACCAAACAAGGGGATGCGACAAATCTAATAACATATTTTTACTTTTTGGTTTCCTGGATTAATTATCAAGTAATTTTATTTGCATTATATTTATTTTCTTAATATGTGTCTTTTAACTTGTTAATCTATTAATCCATCTGCAATTTTAGGTGATGTTGTTTTGTCTCATAATTCATTAGTCAATACTGGGTTCTTTCTTTGTTCCCAAAAAGTTGAGGTAATTACTGTTGTAGGTAGGGTAATGCTATAGCGCTTACTACTACAAGTTTGAGGAGCGACCCTGCACACTATGCATGCATTGCATGATGATAATTTCTTCTCTGTCTGTCCTTCTTCTACAGTGATCCATGAAGCTAACATGGACGTAGCTTTCTTAGATCTGACTTTTCAAATGAACATTACTAACCTTTATAGCCAATGAACTTTATGCATCTTACGATTAGAAAGACTTCGAAACCCATTACTGCCCCCACATGTCTAATATAATATCCTTTTTTTGCTTTTAATCATGATCTACAGTGTTAATCCTCATATAAACCAACAGACAGATCTAATAACTATATTATTAGACATATATAAAATTATTAATGTAATATCACTTACTAGTTTAAGCTTTTGATTGAATTGGTTATTTATATAGTATTAGAGTCTCAATGTCTGAGGTTCAAGCCTAATGAACTCTCTTGTGATAGAGGGTATTAGAGATATATAAAATCATTAATTTAACTATTTTCTCACCGTTAATCTTGCTCGGGATTATGTCAATTTTATGGAAGCTGTAATGGAAAGGTTGTTGTTGCAATTTGTGACACCTAGAGCGTATGATCCTACCGGACGTTTGGTTGAGGAGAATTTTTTTGAATACTAGGGAAATGTAATTACTAAGAAAATGGTTGGAAAGTGAGTTTGGTAGGAAAATGTAAAAAAAATTGTTTGGTTGATCGAAATATTACCAGGGAAATTTATTTAAATTAGCAAAATTTATGTTCGGGAGAAACTTCGCACCTATTTTTTCACTTCTCCAGTTATCTCAAAATACCACATCTCAAGTGGTATTCTGTAACAGTGAATTTCATCCAAAAGTCAACACAAAAGTCATTTCCCCGTCTATCTTATTTGCCTAGTATTTTTTTCAAAAACCTTAACTATCCACTTACACTTTTCCATCAATCCCAAAACAAATCTTCTACCAAACACTACCTAGGAGTAATTGGCTTCGGCTGACAATAGTAGTAATTGGCTTCGTCTATTTCCGAGAGTACGCACACAAGGAATGGTATAATTGTAGGAGAAAGAAGGCAACCATACATTGCCATTTTGGGCTACAAATTTTTTTCTTGGTTAAAAGATGTGTAAAGTTATGATTGACTTTGGATTGAAGATTTTAGTGAAAGTGGAGTAAGTAACTATGGGTTTTAGGACCTTTGCAGATTTTCTTTTTTTACTATTTTTATGTATTCTCCATGAGCATTTTTTAAGTTTTTGGAAATTACTATAAAAATGATAAGATGGAATGCATACTAATTTATTTCCAGGGTCTGTATCCACACTTCTCTCCGCGGAACATGTATTAAAGGATCAAGATTTTCGGGCAGGAGGGTGATAAAGCTGCTTTTAGCTAGCTGTGTGTTTTTGTTTTAAATGTAAAATTTTTATCGGAAGTTGGAGAACTTCTGATCCCTTGTGATTATCATTTTGAATGATTACACTGGCGGCGTTCAGAATTTGTTTCTCCTACTTTGGTTTCTTAGGTACTGCTTTTCACTCGGTTTTTCTTTTTCAGTTAATTTGATTATGCAAGTGTTTAAACATTTTCTTGTTTATCTATAGCATTACTGCAAGGATTTAAAGATCACATGGACTTGTCTGATATATAGGGGTTAGTAGGTGTTTAAGAGGGTGAAAGATTAGGTTCTGTTGGTAGTAGAAAGTTGTTACCAGTTGTCCTCTTCGAGTCAGAGAAGCTGGAAAGGAAAGGTTACGAGTATATCCTTATGTGATTTGTGGCAACCCATACAGATAACATAGCTCCAAATTTACCATAACAATACATTCTCCCGAACTAATCTTTGCATTATAACTAACTCCTTAAAGCTACGGTCGTTTTCATCTCATTCCTAATAAAAGGGGGAATAAACTTATAAAATTTCAAATACTATTGTTTTCAACATAACATGTGTACTTCTTGTTGAAAAGTGCATTTGTAAACACTAAGGTAGGTAGTATTTGATCGGAAGTTTTTTAGCGGATATCTATCTTTTTCAAGTATGGCTTTTAGAAATATCATGTTTATTTCAACGTTTTTCACCAAAAACTCATCTATCCAATTTGTCTAGATTTATGAGAAACATAGATATCCGCACTGTTTAGAAACCCAATTTGAAGGTGAGATTTTTCGGAAAACCGGTTATCTGGCTTTTAATGCATGGTTGATTTCATAAAGTTACCTAATTTTTCCAGTAAAGTTTTCCCCCACCAAACAACTTTGTTTTACATTTTTCTACCTATCGCACTTTATCTATCTTTCCAATCATTTCTCTATCTATCTCATTTCCCTACTATTTCAAAAAAATTTCCTGAACCAAACGCCCCCTAAATAATTTATCACAGAGTACTAGATTATTGGTTGAACTGTGCGTTATCGATTCAACTGTATGACTTGGGTTAGTATATAAATATTTATATTTTATACATAAATATCTATAAAATATTCAAATACATATAAAAAATTGTTATACGGCTGCAAGCATATATAATTTTTGTAGGGAAAAAAAATCATATATGATAATCACATATAATAAATTGTAAAAAAAATAAACAGAGAAAAAAGAAAAGAAAAATTCAAGTATCAGGTAGTCATATATAATTTCTTCTATCAAGTATTCTTAACTAACCATGTTTAATAATTATAAGGCATTTACCAATAACTCTTTCCATAAAAATGGATTTGTAAGGAATTAATATGTCATCTTCTATTAATTTCCAATTTTGCAAATTGCTTCAGTCTTGAAAACTGAAATTTGTAGGATAATATACTACTAGCAAACAAAACTATAAAAGTTTTTGAAAGGAGTTCCACACTTTTTTCATGCAAGATAAGAGACAACTTTGATTTTTGATTTTTTTTTTTTATATATATAAAATTGCATGACCCGCCGATTTTTATGAATCAACTGAGTCACCAGTTTTGACCGGCCCTAATACATGGTTGATCAATACTTGACTTGAACCGGTCCAATGACCAATTTGTCGAGTTCCGGATCAACCCGACCGATTCGAGGCGGGCCTGCACTAAAGATATTAATAGACAAAAAAAAACTTTATAATAACGATTAATAAAATGTGTGTGAAGTTTGTGTGTGTGCAATTGATTACAAAAAAATCACAAGAGCTTGTCACATGCCATTTACATATATACTAACTACGCAACTAGTTGTACACCAAGTGTGTGTGTGTGCAATTGATTACATTGATTGCGTAAAATGTTTAAAAATAAAATTGATTCGATAATTTATTTTTAATCACAATGATTGCATTTGCGCATGTCGTGTTTGTGTAACTCACAAAAGCTTATCACATGCTAGTTACATATTGATAAACCTTTGGTTTACCATGTTTTTAGGCTAAATTATACAAGAATTATGTAATAGATTGCATGGAATTCAAGGTTTTACAGCATATTAGTCATAAGATGGGAATTTGAGCTACTGTTTTTTAGTTCTTTGCATTTTGAAGGTAAAACCACACTTATTGGTGCTAAAAAGTGATGAAAAACTCAAGACAAAGAGTTGAGACTCAAATTGGACTAAAGGAAGTCAAAATCTTACAAGTCAAGGGCCAGAAGAGCACGCTCAAGCGCACAAAATGGACGCTCGAGCGCTTCCTGGCAGGGAAAACAGCCAAACTGAGCAATTCAAGACGCTCAAGCGCACATATGCATGCTCAAGCGCCCAAGAAGAGAAGAGTTCACCATCGAGGAGCACGCTCGAGCGCCCATATGGACGCTCGAGCGCGTGAAGGCAGGCATAAACAACAATTGAAGGCACAACAGTACGCTCAAGCGGCCATCAACGCGCTTGAGCGCACAAATACGCACCAGCCGGCCAAGATTTAATGAAGATTTTCCAATGGATACCGGATCGTGATATCCGAAATTAAAGCGGAAACCTATCAATCTTTATTGTAGAGATCCATGGGAAGATTTGAGAAGGATTATAACAGGATTCAAAGTCTAAATCTGTCAACCAATCTGCAAGATCTTAAATAAGAAAAAGGAAGCAATTAAATATTTATTTACAAATCTAACAAGGATTCGTTGGAGGATTCGATAAAGGATACGACTTCAATGGTTATAAAAAGGGAGCTGAGGGTCAGACCAAGACACCAATTCACAAGTCCAGGGAATTACATAGAGACCTGAAGGAGGAATCCTGTTGCGGAGCGCTGGAACACTGAGGAACCAAGTCAACATCACACCAATGGAGGCTTGGGGTTCTCTTATCTTTACTATTGTTTTTGAATTCAGTATGCTAGGCTAAACTTTTATGTAGTTAGGGGTAGATGGAACCCTATTGAATCTTTATGTTTATGAATTAAATTGTCTCTGAATTCATTTCTTTTTATAATTGAATAAATTTATCTGTCTTTAATGCTTTCTATGAGTT